CATGTCTTCAGATATTGATACCATAAATTAGAAAAAGGATTTATGGATCGTCGCTACTTATGCTAGCTGCTGAGTGAAATTGTACAAGGCAGACATAAATTCTGCATGTGCTTCTAGAAATGTTAAGCAAGGATATCCAAGTACAATCATTTAGAAAATCTTTATAGTTAGTTAATTAAAAATCTACCACAGTAAATAAAAATGTGTTGAATGAAACTGCAAACTTTTTTATGGAATTCTGCTTTCTTATTGCAAATAGCACATGTGTAAGAACTAATGCACAAACACATATTGCGTCATATATTTGTTGCCATAGAAACTAACAGATAAAACGTATAACTTCAAGAACAAAATTAATAAACTAAGGTTTACTGAAGACATATTGCTCGATGTAATCTAATTGCTGCTGATTGCTTCAATATTTGATTTTTCAATCTTGGTAGAATCTTGTTTTTTTTTTGTTTTTTTTTCTGAATGTCGCAAGTCCTAATTAAAACGTTGTTGTTTTCCTTAATAACCTCCCACAATTCAAACACCATCGAAATAATAGCAACGCAACACACTTTGGTCTAGTTCAAGTTGGATGAGTAAAGCTAACCAATAGGCTATCTATACTATGAGCTCGGCATGGCCAGGTGGTTAGGGCGCTCTACTCGCAATATGAGGGTCGCGAGTTCGAATCCCTGTCCCACAAAACATGGTCACACTTTCAGCCAAATGGGTAATATAATGTGACGGTCAATCCCACTATTCGTTGGTAAAAGAGTAGACAAAGAGTTGGCGGTGGGTGGTGATGATTAGCTGCTTTCCCTCTAGTCTTACACTGTTTAAATTAGGGACGGCTATCGCAGATAGCCCTCGTGTAGCTTTGAGCGAAATCCATAACAAACAATCTATACTATGTTCACAGCAGGGAAGCGAACCCCGGATATTAGCGTTGTAAGTCCATAAACTTAAAAAAAAAAATATATACAGTGAAAATGCATGCACGGAAAACACACTATAATATATTGTAACAGCCACTTAAACTTTTCATGAAAAGTGTTTGAATGTAATATGATGTTGACAATGATATGATGTTGCTATCTAAAAAAGAATAAAATTTATTTTTAGTTTAAAATTTGACATAATAATATGTTTCAAAATAAAAGAATAAAAAAATAAATAGTCGAAAAGCTATTACTTTAGGCACATGCTCGATGTACAAATTAATAATGAAACCGTAATATACATAACAGTAGGACACGTTGATTGATGATAGCCGACAATCTGATTAAGGATTGATGAAGTATGCAGGGTTTTAAAGTACTTTTTTTCAGACACATTTGCTTTTTTTATTTCTCAATAAGAGACATTTTTAAGAGCAGAGTTGATGAACAGCAATGGAAAAATTGATACAACTGAGCTAAAGAAGCTTTCCGGTAAAATGTGAATGTATAATGATATATCAAGAGCCTTGGCTGATTCTCTCTCGATGAGCAGAATAGTGTTTGGTCAACTCTTTGTTCGCATGAACTAAAGATCTTGAAATATTATTTATTTGACACCATGGTTCATCTTTTAAGAATTTGTGCTTAATAATTTTTATATGCCTTTTTCCATTTTTAATGATAGTCAAAAGCTCAAAGTTCATTGAGATTCTAGTTGGATATTTTCATCATTTTGTACATGTGCTATGTGGTTACTTGTTCTGTTGTTTTATTACAAATCAGTCTAAGAAAATAAGTTAGAGGCTAGATTAGCCTTTGCCTTCTGGTTAGTTCATTGTAAGTTGTGTTAAGGTTAGTAATACTTCGTCTACCATTGATTTGTTTGTGTGTGTGTTTGTGCACATTATTCTTGATATATGCGTTGTGAATCAAACGTTATGATGTTTAAGCGAAAGCACATTATGGAAAGATGACAAGTGAGTAAATTAGTACTTTAAATATTTTAATATCTTCTAGTTGTGAAGGTCTTTAAGATATAGAATCATATCTTTTGTGTATTATTTTTCTAAGTGTACATGTTGCCGCTACATCATTGACACATGCGTTGTGGATCAAACTCGAAGTGCTTAAAGTCCGAGCGAGACGCGAGAGCACGACATTATCGGAAGATCTCAGGTAGAAGTGAGTTCTTTGACACTATCAATTAATATGTACTAGATTTTTATATCTTTAAAATGCAATAATTATTTTGTTATATATTATTTAAAAACATATATCTTATATTTGCTTGTGAGTTCACGGACGGATACGAATTATGAGATTCGATACTATGTTACTTGTCAGGTTTTGACTTTGAATTTGAGTCAAAGTTTGAGGGTACCGGCACTACCGGTGACACTGATGATACTTGGTAGTGATACTGTGACAGGTTAACTTAGTTAGTAAGTAAATCATATGTCCATGATGCTTATATATATGTAATTTTAATAAACGCAACCATTTCTCACAAGGACTTGGCTTTGTGTTAATATGTTATTAATAGAAATACAACCAATAAGTCGTTACCAATACACTGAATTTTGAAAGTTGAACTTGAAGTTGAATCGTGTGCTTGTTTGTAACTTGTAATGTTGTATCAGCTGTAGCTTGTAATGTACAGGAAGTTTTAAACTAGGACTAGACAGTGGTGAGGGCCAGGAAAAACTGATTGAATGCAAAAAGAATAAGAGGCAAGGAAAAATTTAGCATAGGAAATAAGCATAGAATTAGTTATAAGGATAGGCTTAATTGTTACTATTGTAATGCTAGAAGTATAAAGAAATCAAATAGATGACTTTAAAGCACTGGTTGTGGTAGATATGGAGGATTTTCCTTTTCATATAATGCGAATGACTGAAACATGGTTAAACATAGATGATTTTGATGACAGAAATTTTTATGAAATACAGGGTTACAGGCTATTTAATAGGGATAGAGTATTAAAGAGAGGAGTAGGAGTGGCATTATATGTAAAATGTGAGTTACATCCTATTGAAGCTGAGGATATCAAAGATAATAGCAAAGAGATTGAATCTATTTGGGTTTCTATTAGTGGATATAAAGGGAAAATACTTTTAGTGGGAATTTGTTACAGACCACCAAATGATACTGATGAAATTAGTGAGAAACATTACAATGAGATTAAGATTTCAGCTGTTAATGAAGTCATTATTATGGGTGAGTTTAAGGTATATAGATTGGGAAATACTAGAATCAAACCACAATGGAGAAAGGTTTTTAGAAACTGTTCAGGATGGTTTTCTTCACCAGTTAGTCAAGGAATCAACTAGAAACAATGCTATTTTAGACTTATTGTTAACTTCAAATACAGAAATAATTGATAGAGTGAAAATTGGGGAGAATCTGGGCACAAGAGATTATTGCTTTTTTAGGTTCAATGTTTTGCTGCATATGGAGATAAGGAATAATGATATTTTGGATACAAATTTCAAAAAAGAAAATTTTGAAGGAATGCGACAAGAGTTATTTGGAGACACTGATCAGATG